CCAGACAAGCCAGACCCCCCAGCTGGCACGCCTTGCGCCTCTGATATTCGGAGCTCCTCGCTGACCCTGTCCTGGTACGGCTCCTCGTACGATGGGGGCAGTGCTGTGCAGTCCTACAGTGTCGAGATCTGGGACTCGGTGGACAAGACGTGGAAGGAACTAGCCACGTGCCGCAGCACCTCGTTTAACGTCCAGGACCTGCTGCCTGACCGAGACTATAAGTTCCGCGTGCGCGCCATCAATGTGTACGGAACCAGCGAGCCGAGCCAGGAGTCTGAACTCACAGCGGTGGGAGAGAAACCTGAGGGTAAGCTGCCTTCACTTCGTCTCTGGCCTGAAATAAATGTGCGTGAACTACCTTGTGCAGGTAGAAACCTGGACTGAGAGGGGTGCAGAGGAGTGGGGAAGACATCCATAGTGACAGGCAGCATTTTGGGGGATCTTGATTTCCAAGGTTGTAATGCTGATCCATACTTTAAAAGAAGTACATACCACTTTTTAAGCACCATTGGCACACTGCCATCAGGGGGCGATGGTGTGTCAATCAGGAGCAGAGTCCTAGAAGGCAGGAGCTCAGGTAGACCTAAAGTTTCAATATCTCCCTTCCCCCTCCTCCTCCTCCTCTTCCTCCTCTTGTTGCACTCAGATTTGAGTGTCTACTCAGTGTCAGGTCCTTGGAACACCAAGACAGATAAGACAAGTTGCTTAAACTCTATAGCAGTGGTTCTCAACTTCCTAATGCCGCGACCCTTTAATATAGTTCCTCATGTTGTGGTGACCCCCAACCATAAAATTATTTTTGTTGCTACTTCATAACTGTAATTTTGCTACTGTTATGAATCATAATGTAAATAGCTCATATGCAGGATGTATTTTCATTGTTACAAATTGAACATAATTAAAGCATAGTGATTAATCACAAAAATAATATGTAATTATATATGTGTTTTCCGATGGTCTTAGGCGACCCCTGTGAAAGGGTCATTCGACCTCCAAAGGGGTCGCGATCCACAGGTTGAGAACCACTGCTCTAAGGGGAGCCCAGCCGGTGTGGCTCAGTGGTTGAGAGTGGACCTATGAACCAGGAGGTCACAGTTCGATTCCCGGGTTGCAGGCTCGATCCCTGGTAGGGAGTGTGCAGGAGGCAACCAGTCGATGCTTCTCTCTCATCATTGCTGTTTATCTTCTTCTCCCTTACTCTCTGAAATCAATAAAAATACATTTTTTAAAAATTTAAGGGGACAACTGTGTACACAGCTAATGATAGCGAGATGGTCTACATCTGTCTTAGTGGTTCTCAACCTTCCTAATGCCGCGACCCTTTAATACAGTTTCTCATGTTGTGATGACCCCCAATTTCACTGTGACAAATTGAACATAATTAAAGCATAGTGATTAATCACAAAAACAATATGTAATTATATATGTGTTTTCCGATGGGCTTAGGCGACCCCTGTGAAAGGGTCACGACCCACAGGTTGAGAACTGCTAGCAGTATAAACAAATTGCAAAGGAGACACAGCAGAAGGCACGAGTAATTTGCCATGGACGTTGAGGAAGTCCTCCTAGAGGAATAACACTTAAAACGAATGGGCTTCTAAGCAACAGGGAAGCTAAGGAGGGCATCTCTCACAGCGGAAACAGCATGAGCGAAGGTCCCAGTGATGGAACTGTGTGGGATTTTGAGAAGCTTGTGAGTGGCCAGGGCATGTGCTGTGTGAGTCAGAACAGGAGGAAGCAACACTGACAGGGCAGTTCAGGTCGAATTGTGAAGTCTATCAAAGATCTTCGGGCAGCGGATTGATACAATAGATCTGTTTTTTGTTTTTTTTTAAATGCAACCTACTGTTCATTTCAAGTAGCATACAGGCTCCCTCTAGACAGACCCATGTGTTCCTAAGACTTTTGGAATGTTGCCTTTTTGGGAGATTAGCTTTTTAAAAATTCTTGTACTATGTGCAACGTTATAATTTGACATCTGTATAGACTGCACAGTGATCACCATCACAAGTCTGTTTTTTTAAGAAGAGAATTAGAGGAAGAGTAGAGCTTTGCCACTCAAAGTGTGGTCTGGACTTAGCAATCTTGAGATCCTGGGAGTTTGTTGGAACTGCAGACGTCCACACTCACACACACCCTTCTCCTAGTCTCTTCTGAACTTCACCATCCACCCGCTCCGCCACCCCCATGAGAAGCGCTGGAGTGGAGGAGGGGATGAGAGTGGAGTCAGTGAGACACTAGTTGGTTCTCTGTGGTGTAGCCCAGGAGAGGGGTGGTAAGGGTATGAACTAAACCCTCACGCAATGGAATTGGCCAATCTTGATGACTTTTTGGGTAGGGAGTTGAGGGGAAAAATTAGAAGAGTTTAAACGACTCCCAGTTCCTGGCTGGGTATCTGAATTCAAGAGTCATTTAGTTTATTATTATGATTCATCATGGCTGACATGTATTAGGCACTGCTATATGCTAACAATATGTTCAGCATTTTCCATGCATCGTTTCATGCATCTAACTCATTGAAGTAGATCTTGTCATCTCCCCTATTTACAGATGGGAAATGAGGTTTACAGGGGAGAAGCTAGTTGCCCAGGGCTATAGAGCTTGTATTAGCGAGCTGAAGCTGGAACTCGAAGCTGACTGACCCAGAGCCTGGGCTTCTTTGGCTGCCTCCCAGTGACTTGGAGGTTGGATAGCAGGGAGTCCAGGAGGGTGGGGAGCAGGCAAGTTAGAGTGGGGGTGCCAGGACAGGCAACCAAATTGCAGTCTGCATGTGTTTAGCATATTTCTTTAAGAAGAGGATTCTTTACCTCTTGGAAAAGAGGCAGGAAAAAGGATAACATTGCAGTGGCACCCGCCCAGGCCAAGGCCAGGGAAAGCCTGGAGCTTTGAAGGGGATGTGATCTGTTGCACCCCTGCTGTCTCCTCACGTCCCCATTCACTCCTGCACATTCATGCTGTGGCAGCAGGAGCTGCTTGTGTCCCCCTCGCCACACCTCACAGGCACCTGTGAGTTCCATTGTGTGACGTCACCCCTCCTCATTGTGTTCCATCATTTCCTTTAGGTCAGTAGTTGCCAACCGGTAGTCTGCGGACCACTGGTGGTCCATAAGGTCTGAAAGATTGGCAATCGCTGCTTTAGGTCACAACTCAAGGGCAACTTCTCTTAGAATAATTGCTGGACTTTATAATTGCCTCGTTTTGTGTTGCCTTCTTCCATGTGCACGGTGATAGCGTGTGCTTGATTATATAACATCAGGGGCCTGGTACACGGATTTGTGCACTGGTGGGATCCCTCGGCCTGGCCTGTGCCCTCTTGTAATCCAGGACCCCTCTGGATTACAGAGGGGTCCTGGATTACAGGGGATGTCAGACTGCCTGTTTCAGGCCAATCCCTGCAGGCCAGGCCAAGGGACCCCACTGGTGCACGATCTGTACACCAGGCCTCTACTATGCATATAAGACCTTTGGCTAATCTCTTCCTGCCTTCCCCCAGCCCCCTTTCTTCTGAGATTCATCAGTCTGTTCCATGTTTCAGTGCCTGTGCATTGAGCATCTGCCCCCTGGTGGTCAGTGCACGTCATAGCTAGGCTTTTATATAGAAGTGTCATGGGTATTTTAAGGAAATGTGTTTTTGCCTCCCCAACTAAGATATAAGCTACAAGAAGAAGGAGGTATTATGCCTCTGTGTATTTTGTTTTGTATACCCACAATACATGGCCAAATATTGGAACATGGCTGGAATTCCGTGAAAAACGTTCAGTAAATGGATAAATGGATTGGACACGCTGGCAATCATAAGTTGCTGACTTTCGAGCCAGAGCAGAAAGGGCCGTCACAATTGTGTGTAGGTTCTGAAAGTCAGAGGGATTGGAAGAGATGTGAAGAGGGTGTGCCTAAAGGACCACGAGGGTAGAAAGGACGGGATAAAGGCAGGAGCTGGGATGGGGCTGGTGGGGTGAGGAGGCTAGTGTCTGCCCGCACGCACATGGCCCTGTTGCAGCGTGACCTGACTGACCACACGGTGACGCCCAGGCTCTGGGCATGGTGGTGTTGTGCCTGACGGCCCCCAGCAGGTTTTGCTCTCAATGGGCCTTTAGTAATAATCCCTGTCCCCTTCTTGTCTCCCCCAGAGCCGAAGGATGAAGTGGAGGTGTCCGATGATGGTGAGTGCTGGCCACCCGCCTTGGGTGGGCTCTAGGGGTGGAAAGGGGTGAGCAGGGATCTGATGGCTCACACCCACCCAACCCCCACCCTGCAGATGAGAAGGAGGCTGAAGTCGATTACCGGACGGTGACAGTCAATACCGAACAAAAAGTGTCTGACTTCTACAACATCGAAGAGAGACTAGGATCGTAAGTGGAGTGGGGAGCACCCTTTGGGCCCCAGCGTGAGGGTGGCACAGACCCCACAGTGAATTCCATGCCTTGTCTTCCCGTTCTTCCCTGGGTTTGCCAGCTCCCCAGACTGACATGCCTGCAGCATCAGGAGGGAGGGTCAGCACTCCACGAAAGCATGGCCACCCAGGGCTCTCGGAGGAGCCGCGTGTAGTTCTGCACTGGCCCCTCTGTGGAGGGCTTGGGCGAGCCTTCCTTTGCTGTGCCTCATTCTCCACACAGCCCTGAGCTGAGGGGACCATGTCTGGGTCGGACTGTCTTCAGGACCCTCCCATCTGACCCACAGAAGGCAGGCCGGCCTGGCCTGTGCTCCCCGTGCGGCACTGCTAGCTCAGGGCTTCAGGGACGCACATCCCACCCAACATGCCAGCCCTGCTGCTCCATCAGCAGGTCACCGCCTTGGTGGGATGCACGGCTGCCCGCTCTGGCGCACTCTCCGCACTTGGTCCGCACTCTTTAATATGAATCCTCCCTGGGGTTGGACCCCATCCTGGGCCCTGGTCACTGCCAAGCGCCCCCTCCAGCAGCAGCGCCCAGGGCTGCCTCCCGCTAGCACTCTATTCCTGAGCGCGGGAGGTGGAAGCAAAGGGGAGGTCTCTGCTTGTATTCCCAGCCTCATAGCATTGGTACAGGGAGCCGGCACCGCTAGTGGGAGGTGTCAGAGGACCACGCCCTGTCCCACAGTGGGCAGCAGGGCCTCCGGGCTGTCTCCGGGACAGTGCTGAGGAAGGGGGAAGGGAGGTAGCCACTCAGGCATTCTCTGTGTTTAGGGGGACTTCCTCAACCTGAGTCCCTCTGGGGGGAAGGGGAGAGAAGTCCACCAGCCACGCTGGAGGCCCCACCAAGGCGGTGACCTGCTGACGGAGCAGCAGGGCTGGCATGTTGGGTGGGATGTGGGACCAGCACAGGCTGCAGCAGGCAAGTGATGGGGAGAGTAGTTTGCAGTATTAGAAATGCACTTCCCTGACTCAGAGCAGGGCTGGCAAACTCTTTCTGTAAAGGGCCAACTAATGGATGTTCCAGGTTTTGCGGGCCATGCAGTCTGTGTTGCAACTACTTCTCTACACATTCTAGGGCGGGTGGGACAGGGGGGGGAGCCACGTGGGGTCTCCCACAGACAATATGCACACAAATGGCATGACTGTGCTCCAATAAAACTTTATGAAAACAGGCGGGCCAGATTTGTGGGCCATCCCCCAGTGAGCGGAAAGCTTGGCTAAATGTGCCTTTTCCCTCCTCCTTTCACTTGCAGTGGGAAGTTCGGACAGGTCTTTCGACTTGTAGAAAAGAAAACTGGAAAAATCTGGGCAGGGAAATTCTTCAAAGCATATTCGGCAAAAGAGAAAGAGAGCATCCGGGAGGAGATCAGCATCATGAACTGCCTCCACCACCCCAAGCTGGTCCAGTGTGTGGACGCCTTCGAAGAAAAGGCCAACATCGTCATGGTCCTAGAGATGTGAGCAGCCCGCTGCCCCACCCGCCCCTTCCCTGCAGGCAGGGGCGTGAGTGCAAGACATTCACAGCCCATCCAGCCAGGGACTGACCACTCGGCACAGCTCTGCGCACAGCACTGGGCCTGGCCACTGACCACCAGCCCCCTGAGCCCCTGCTCATTTCTATAACAAATGGGCAGATCTTGGAGGACCCCCGTCCCCTTTCCCCCTCACCTCCCTGTGAAAGGGCTCCTTGGTTCCATTCAGGGCCTTCTGATCTGGAGGTGGCTTCAGGGGAGGAGGGGAGGGATTGAGCAGCTTACTGAAGAGCCTGTGAAAGGGAGGGGTCCAGGGTGGGGGTTCGGAGTGTAGGCGTGTGACCTTGCTCCCTCCTCTGGCTGTGCTCCGTGTGCTCATTTGTACTTTCTTCGCTTCTCAGTCAGCTTTCTGTGCTGGGTTGTACACACCAGGGAGATGGATCCGGTGACCTCTAGCCAAAGCTTTCCTTCTCCAGGCTTTCCTCTAGTCCCGTGGTCGGCAAACTGCGGCTCGCGAGCCACATGCGGCTCTTTGGCCCCTTGAGTGTGGCCCTTCCACAAAATACCATGTGCGGGCACGCACGTACAATGTGATTGAAACTTCCTGGCCTGTGCGCAGAAGTCGGTATTTTGTGGCCACATGTGGCTTGCGAGCCGCAGTTTGCTGACCACTGCTCTAGTCCCACTTCTCCACCTCTCCCACCTCTGAACTGCTGGCATGTGTGTGCACGCGCGCACATGCACACTCACGAGTACACACACGTATGCAAACACACCTGCGCACACACAAACTCACGTGTGTAAACACATGCACACATGCGTGCAAACACACCACACATACATGTGTGTGTAAACACATACATGTACATACTGGTGTCAGTAAGTCAGACATCCTCCATAGTGTCTATATTTTTAAGAATTTCTTTTCCTTGTCCTGATTTGACTTTTTAATATATGATACTATCTCATCAAAAAATGTAAGAATAAATGCAATGAAAAATCCCATTCCCATCCCCTGCCCCCATCTACCCTATTCCTACCCCACCACCAACAACCAGGAAACAATTTCATTGGTTTTATCTGTATCCAGTTTCTTTATGAAAATACAAGCACATATAATACCTATATCCATATTGCCCAGCTTTTGACACAAGGGCAACTCGTAGTTACAATTCCATACTTTGCTTCTTTTCATTCTACAGTTTACCTTGGAGACAGTCCCCTATCAGTAGCAGTGAGCTCCCTTGTTCCCCCGCTCCATGCAACGTCATCACATGCATATACCACGGTTTATTGTCCTCTTTCGGCAGGAGGTGGGTGGTTTCCAGGTGTTTGCTTTACAAGCAAGCAGTTTCTGTAACCTGGTCCCATACACCCTTTCACTCATGCCTGTGTGCATCTGGAGGATAAACTCCCAGCAGTGTGGGGTGCTGGATCGATGTGTATGTGGAATCTTGAGAGATATTGTGCAATTGTCAGCAGCATCCTGGAATTGCTCCTTCCCAGGCAAGGCGAGCCAGGGAGGCTAGCGAGGCAGCCCCGAGCTCAAGGCGTGAATCCCTCCTTCGTGAAATGATGAGTCCCTTTCGGTTTCTGTTCCGTAGAAAAGTGGGTAACTGCACAGACTTGAGTCCCATAAACCTCACCGCAGTCCCAACTCTGCCTGTTACTCGGTGTGCGACCTTGAGTAAATTACTCGACTCTGCCAACCCTTAGTTTTATTATCTGAGAAAGGAGGCTATAAACCGCCTCGTGAACAGTGTGGGATCAAAGGGACAAACGTGCGGCAGGCACGGTGCTCTGCAATGGAGAGTTGCTCTCAGTAGTTCAGTGCTTTGGCTTTTTCTCTATCCTGGTCTTTTTCCCACTCAAAATTACATTGTGAGCATTTTAAACACCCAACTGGGTACCATGGAACAAATCCTACTATCCAGGTCCTATTACTGTGTAGCGGCGATTTTGTCCATTATTAAATCCTTCTAGCAGGAGAGGTACTTGGGTTAGACTCCCATTTGTTCTTAAAATTCTGTGGAATTGGAAAAGATTCAAAGAAAATCTCTATCATATCTTAAACTCTGTTTTCAGCCCCAAACTCCAACTTGCCTCTCCACTTCCAGGAAGGATTTAGCCATGTCTGTCGCCTCACCCCCACCACAGCCCTGTGGCTGCAGCTTCTCACATTCGTTCTAGAGCAGGTTCTTGGTCCAGGCAGTGTGGGCATGTGGGGACACGTGAATAAACGCCTTATCTTTAGAAGTTAAATCTTGAGCAAGTTCATGAGGGCGTGCAGGGAGGGGGAGGAGGCAGCCCAGCCTGGGTAAGGCCGGGTAGCAGCACCAGTGGGCAGAATACCATACTTAGCTTGGAATTGGGAGTTGGCAAGCTGGATGGAAAATGTTGGGAGAAAATGTAAGAAGGCTTCCGCAGGTCTGGGTTTCATCCCTCCACCCCAGCCTCCCCCAAGGACAGGAGCAAATCTTCCAGGCACAGATGCCAGAGGATTCGCCTGCATTCGGGGTCAGGAGCTCACCCCATAGGAACTCACCCCAAGGAGAGGGAGCAGAACCGTGCTCGATCTGCACTTCAGACAGGCTCAGCCTCTGCGAGCACAAAGGTTGGTGCTCAGCAGTGCCATTTGCTGTTTGACGGAGAAACTGGGGTTAGGAGAAGAACAATGCCTGGTGTGGTAGAAAAACACGAATGCATTGCAGGGCCCCAGCCCTCCATTCAGCGGCCTCAGATACAGGGAGAAACCGGGAGGAACATGCCTTCAGCCTTTCAGACCTGCGGTTGCTGGACAAGCCTGTCACTACAGCAGTGGTCTCTGAGACCGGGCTTCCTCCCGGCTCCTGGCCTGCCATCTGGGCTTGTCCTTTTGGGAGCACGTGGGACGTTCCATGTGGTGGTGAGACCCTGAGCACAGGAGAGGATGTGCCGTTTAGGCTGAGTCATCTAGGGTCCATCTCACTTTTGCGCTGCTGTTGGCAAGATTGATCAAAGAACATCCATCCAGCTGGCCTCCATGGGACGTGGAGTCAGAGGGTCTGGTCCCGAGTCTCTGGTAGTGAGTGCCATTCCTCCTGGCTGCCCGTGAGGACTGGGGGGGTCTACAGTTTGGGGGATAGATTTGATCCCTTGGGATTAGGTGGCCTTGGTAATAGGTATTTGTGCATTCATTCATTCATTCACTCACTCACTGTTAACTTATTAAGTACACATTTCTTCTGACCCAATCTTGGCCTTGGCATTATCCCATCTGTGGTGTGGTGGGCCCTTTCCAGCCAATACTTCCCACCAATCATCCCGAGTGTTTTGAATAGAACCATTTTTTTAACTGCTTCTTTTTAAAAATGTTTTTATTGATTTTAAAGAGAGAGGGAGGGAGAAAGAGAGAGAGAAGATTGATTAGCGGTCTCCCATAGCACCCCAATGGGGACAAACCTGCAACCTGGGTATGAGCCCTGACTGGGAATTGAACCGATGACCCTTTGGTGCACAGGATGACTCTCAACCGAAGGAGCCACACCGGCTAGGGCTGAAACCTGTAGAACCCTTAATCCTATTTTTGTAACTACTTTTATTCTTTAAAAAAAAAGTGGAACAAAGGAGTTTTCAAAAAATATTTGAATAGATTTGAACCTATCTGAATATATATTGACTAGGTTACCTCTAGTAACCTCTAGAGAATTGAAACTTGAAATAATACTCATAGGAACAACAAAGTATCTTCAACAACAAGCCTCAGCAAAGGCTTGACTAGGTAACCTCTAGGAGTAATTATCTCTGTGGCTCCGATTTCTACTACTCATTGCCTCAGACAGCCCAAGGGCACTGCAGATGATGGCTGCTTGCTTTTTCTCAATACTTTAAATTTAGAAGCAAACATTTTGGAGCATCTTGTCTGTGCCAGACATTGTCAGGTATAAACAAGGGTCTAGATATGAGCCAGACCTTTTCCAGACATGCTCACAAACAACTGTAAGGAAAGGCAGACTTGAACAAAAGTGCAGAGACAAGGCTTTGGAAACCCAGGGAGGGAAGGCTCATTTCATATGGACAGTGGAGTGTGCTTTATCCAGAGGACGTGAATTTCTACTGCCTCTCAAAGCTGGTAATGGAGCAAGCCAGTACTTCCCAAACATGTTGGATCATAAGAATGAGCTGGGATACTTATTAAAAATACGGATCCTCAGATCCCTCCCAAATTTTTAAAATCAGAATCTCCAGGAGTGGAGCTTGGGAATCTGTATTTTCAACAAAAGCCTCAACTGGTTCTTTAAAAAAAATAAAAAACGATAACATTATTGAACACTTACCATGTGCCAGGCACTCTCTAAGTACGTTAGGTGCATTATCTTGGTCTTCACAGCAACGCTGTGAGGTGGGGCTGTTTTTATCTGCATCTTTGAAGCACAGATGTCCAGAATCACCTGTGACCTAAGCGCAGATTCCTTTAACTTGGAATGAGAGCCTGGGTGGAGAGCAGTAGACATAAAGAGCTTGAAGACGGCGGCGCCACCTGCTGGTCTCCCTGGACCTCCTTCTTCGTTGCTTCTAAAAGGGTCTGTTGCAGCGCCCCCAGCGGCCATGCGCACAGATGATCTTTCCCAGCTCAGGGGGTCCAGAAGTGAGTGTGGTTGTCATGTGGTGACAGAGGCCGGCCTCACGGAGGCTGTGCTGTGCTGGGCCCCACAGTGCCCCTCTGTCTGTCTCTCCCTCAGGTGTCAGAGAGGTGATCCACTTGGCAATAATATGTGCGGAGCACCTCCTGTGCGTCAGGCATGATGCTTACAAGGGTTCCTTTGTTCCTAGCAATTCTATGAGGAAGGGAACTGGGGCTCAGAAAGATGAACTCGCACAGTTTGTGAGGCAGAAACAGGGTT